GATCCTGGAGTCCCGGGATCGAGTCCCGCATCGGGCTCCCTGCTTGGCAGGGAGTCTGCTTCTCCCTCTGACCCTCCTCCCTCTCATGCTGTCTCTTATTCTCTCTCTCTCTCTCAAATAAATAAATAAAATCTTAAAAAAAAAAGAGATCATTGTTCTTACTAGATGGGCCTTATTTGGCCCCAGACTGCAATTACATAATGTGTTAGCTACCTATGAAAAAAGCAGCATTTTATTCCTCTGTTTCTGTTTTACTGCACAGTCTAAGATCTAACTCAATATGTTTGAGTTTCTTTTTTCAGCCACCTCTATACTGTCTGAATGTTGAGTAGAAATTATAGAATGTTTTAAATCAGTGAGAACCTTTAGTCCATATCCAAGATCATTTAGTCTGAGCCTCCATCTACAGTTATAGAAGCTAAATCCCAGAGATGGTTAATTTACCCAGGGACACAATTTATCCACAGTTTAATCACTAGCTTCTTGTCCTTGTTTCTTTCATCTGTTTGATGATGGCAACTTAACCTCTTTGGGATTCCATTTTCTTGTATATAAAATAAAAGGATTGAACAAAATGATTTCTGATTTTATGATTTTTTTAAAGATTATTAGTAATAGTCTAATAAATAGTGGTTTATTTTAGCTCTCTCATCTGTATTTTATGGCTCTCTACCTCCTTTTTAAGCCAGAATTTCTCTGTTCCCTTTATTCCCAGTTATTGCTATGTTGATTTCAGAGTGTCTGTGTACCTTTGTCACAGGTTAACTCTTTTTAAAGGCTTTCTTACTCTCTTTCCCCAAACATACAGCTATAGCCTGCTTTTCAATAGAAAAATAGTGCAAGACTCGTATATCATTTAAAATTTTCTGGTAGCCACATTTAAAACAGGTGGAATTAATTTTAATAAGATATTTTATTTAACCCAGTATATTTAAAATAATATTTCAACATTTAATTGATAGACATTATTGAGGTATTTTACATTCTTTGTTTACATGTGGTATTGGCGAATACATTGAACAGTGCAAGTCTCAACTAATGAATACTTAAGTAGTAACGGGTTCACTTCCAGATTTAGAAGCAGAAATAATGAAGTAAGAGCTTTGTGAGCTCTTAGAGGACGGGGATTTTTTCTTATATCTTTGTCCTCAGCTCCTCGTATGTAGCATATTATCTGACATACACAATATATAGTCAATATTTGTTAAGGGAAGAACTAATTAAAGAGTATTGCAGTAGGCTAGTTTTAAGAAGTTGGGAGAGGGAAGCTCCGTGGTAGATTTGACCTGAGTTCTTTATATTAATGTAGGGAACACCCTGAACTCTATTACCTTTAGAACTAGGAAAACATACTCCCCAGTTAATCCTGGACAGCCAATCAAGTTCATCTACTACATTCCCCATGTTTTAGGAAAAATGATTTAAATGAAACACAGACTATTTCTTTTAACCACTTCTAGTAGGGAATATAGGAAAAGCTAACATTTATGTAGCACACATTCTGTGCAGGTGCTGTGTTCATGTGATTTCACCTGTAATATTTAATCCATATAACAGCCATGTGAGGTATAAATATTTTTATCATAATTTTTGCAGATCTGGAAAAGGTTTTAAGAAGAATTAGTTTAGCTAGGATTCAAGTATGATTTTCATGGATGTGAGTGCCTACTTAATATAAGTCACATAAAAATGATAGGATTTAATTATTATTTTAAAAGTTTCTTTAATAATTACACAGGTATTACTTATCTAAAAAATCACTTCCAGAAAAATTCTGGCTTGATCAAAAGGAAGATGATAAAAAATACATGAAGAGGTAAAATCAATTTTTAATACTTTTAGAAGTCTGAACTATATTTTTAAAAACTTGTTCACAAGTTTCCTTATTTTCTTTTTCATGTGGTGCAGTCTACAGAAAACAGCAAAAATCATGTATGTACTTATATGTTTTATATTTTAAAATTATAGGAGAATTAAAAAATTATAGTTGGCCTGTGGAAAAACTCTTGACCTTGGGTTGTACAAAAATATAAAATCAAAATTTCTTATACAGTTGTTGGAATGCCACAAGATAATTTTATGACATTATTTATATGTCAGAATTTCTTTTGTGGTCCTATATAAGCTATTCCACTGGATTATGGAAAAGATGGCTTCCTAAGGATTTGTGGGGAAATTTTTTAAAGCTGCTATCTAATATATTAGGAATTGGCTTGATTTCTATTACCTTGTCAGTTAATTTTCACTCATTTCAAACAAATTTAATTTGAATTTGTGGCTTTCAAAAATTATCTAGAGAAATCAAGTATTAACTATTTTATAAATATCCTTTCCCTATAATTGAAGAAAATTTGATGTTATTTAGTGTTAATAAACTTTCATGTTTATGATCCTTCAAAGGGTAGACTTACAGATTTACCATTGCCAAGGGTTTGAGCAGTGGGCAGACTCTGGCTTTTGCATTTTGCTGAATAAATAACAGCAAACAAGTTAATGAGAAGAGTAATGGTTTGCTTGAATTAAATTAATGAGCTTCATCAGTATTTTAATTTCATAAGGACTGCATTTCAAAAGTAATAAACATAATGCCATAGTTTCTTTACTTCTTTTTTGGCTTGATATTTAACATAGATTATACGGAAGAATCAGATAATATTTCTGGAGCCAACTTAAACACTTAACATGCCTTTCAGGATTTGGAAATGTGTTAACATCTGCCGCGTTGTGTCCAGTCTAAGGAAGCCTATTTGTTTGTTATCACATTGACTTCCTTTGATGTCTTTTAGTGTTATCTGCACTCAGACCCAAGGATTATGTCATTTGGGGCTCCTATCATCCTGAGCTAGAGAAGTATACAAGACAGGGTAAATCTGTCCCCCGGGTAGAGGCTGCAGCCTTTTCTTCTTTTTTAACTCTTAGACTCACAGTATTGAATTCAGCCTATGGCTATCTATAACCTTTAGCTGCATAAATATGGAATGTTCCATTTCAGACTTTTTTTTTGCAATTCCTTTTTTTCCCCTCAGGGCACACTCTCCTACAAAAACAGCCAGTTACTCAGTAAAGTGGAAGATAGAAGAAAAAGAGCTGTTTGAACAAGGGCTGGTAAATAGAGCAATTTTTAATTTATAGTAAAATAATTCTAGAAGCCAGTATTGATAGAATTATAAGGTTAATTTGTGGAGACCAGAAATTTCTTTTAATGATCACATCTTCAGTTTTTCTGTAGTAATGATGTTTGTAGTACAAGAGAATTCCTTTTAACTCATATCTAAGTTACTAAAAGATTAAAATACATTTGGATCAATATTTTAGATAATTTTCATCCCCCCCCCTTTTTTGGGAATAATAAAACCCAAGATATTAAGCTCTGTCTGTATACATCAACTACCTGGATTAAAAGGCAAAATTATTTAGTTATCTGATGTTTTCTCTTGGAAAAAAACCCCCAAAAAACAACAGAAAAAAACCCTTGATATTTGGAACTGTCTGCATAATCAGCTGAGTTCTTTTTTATTCAGATATTTGGCATTGTGCACACAGTCTGAATATTTTTTTAGTGGATATAGTTGAAAACCAGAAACATTTCTTTTGCATGAATGTTTCACTGAGATCTATTTAAATATCCATAAGTTACGTAATAGAAAAAAAAAGTGCGCCCGTTTGTAATTCTGAAAATTCTCCTATTAATATGAAGAAACTTTTAAGAAAATATTCAGAATTTTTTTTTCTAATTATTAGGAGTAGGTTATATCTTTTCCTGTAAGGTACATGTTACCCAGTATTACACTAATTAATTTTGAAATTACATATAATTTATATATTACATATAGGATATTTATGTAATATTTATGTGGGTTTTATGAATGCAAATTGAAATGTCATTGTTAACATTTCTTACAGATGATGGGAAATAAAATGTATTTGTATTTTTATAGATATCGCCATGACATCTATATATTCTGTGATGTCTTTATATAAATAAACTATCTTGAAGGTTTTATCTCCTCCTCAGGTTTTTCTCCTGTACTGTTGATGTTTTTTATATTGGTATTTCATTCTGTTGCATGATTGTCATTTTTATAACCTAACTTTAATTAACCAGTCACTTACTTAAGATTGCTTACTACTTTGGTGCTTTGCCCCTTACCAAAGGCTATCTGTGTGTGTGTGTGTGTGTGTGTGTGTGTACACACATACAAAAGTGGGTTGTGAATTTTTAGGTTATTGTTGACACTTGGAATGATGGGGCTACGTCTGCATGGCTCAAACTTCAAAGGGTATTTAAAGTTATAGGTGTTAAGTCTCCCTGTCATTCCAGTCTGTGCCTTCAGTTCTCTTTGCCTCAGGTAACCATTGTTATCTGTTCTCTGCGTGTCCTTCCAAAGATATTTGTCCCTGTATATGCCAATATGTATTTATTTATATACATATGTACGTATCTATATACATAAACAGATATTTTAAACCTAGAACGTTTTCCCACAAAACTAGAAGGAACTGTTGGTTGTATTTCCAGCCTTTTTTTTTTAATTTTTAAATTTTATTATGTTATGTTAATCACCATACATTACATCATTAGTTTTTGACGTAGTGTTCCATGATTCATTGTTTGCGTATAAAACCCAGTGCTCCATTCAATACGTGCCCTCTTTAATACCCATCACTGGGCTAACCCATCCCCCCACCCCCCTCCCCTCTAGAACCCTCAGTTTGTTTCTCAAGAGTCCATAGTCTCTCATGGTTCGTCTCCCCCTCCAATTTCCCCCCCTTCATTTTTCCCTTCCTGCTACCTTCTTTTTTTTTTTTTTTTTTAACATATAATGTATTATTTGTTTCAGAGGTACAGGTCTGTGATTCAACAGTCTTAACACAATTCACAGTGCTCACCATAGCACATACCCTCCCCAATGTCTATCACCCAGCCACCCCATCCCTCCCACCCCCCACCACTCCAGCAACCCTCAGTTTGTTTCCTGAGATGAATTCCTCATATCAGTGAGATCATATGTGTATTCCCAGCCTTTTTAACTTACTGATACATTTTGCTTATACACTGAGTTCTCTCAGGCTTTAGAGAAAGGAATTATCTGGTACCGAATGATGAAGGAAAATTTTTCCTTCCCTTTTGGCATAGAATTGTCTCTTTGCTCTATTTTGAAATTGGTGAGTGTTTTCTTTGCTCCTCTTGTTAGTGTACCCGCTCCAATTTTCATAATGCTCAAGCCCCTACAATCCCAACTGGTTATACTTTGTCCAGATCTTTGATGTGTCCAGAAGTGCTCTATCCTATGAAGTTACTCATTTGCCTTCATCCCACAATGAATATAATTGTTCAGTAAGTTGATCTTAGCTAGGTGTTAGTTAATAACAATCTTAATTAATTTATATTTACTAAGAATTTTCCTAGAAATGCTTTCAGTTTTAAGAAATTGTTCTCATGTCAGATATTCTCATGAATCTCAGAAATAAGTACATAATTAATTTATCATTTGGGTCAGGTTTTGAAGATGATTTGCCACTGTAACCTGTAAATGTCATAACCTGTCGTGTAAATCTGGCCCTGGGATCAGCTTCCCTGAGTTGTGGAGATATGGTGAAGATTTATGTATCAAATAGTAGACTTGATACCCAAAAATTCCTTTTAGCTTTAAAATTATATTGCATTCCTTTCTATACTTCAGAAAACACCAGAGCTCCCTCAGGGTTTCAGTTTTTTCCCCACCACAGCTTTGTCATTAGCGGGCATAAGCCTTTAACAGTACAGGGGTATAGGAAGGTGTTGGTTGCAGGTTGCTTCATTTGTGATTCATTTGTTCTTCGAAGTCGGTTTTCTGTGATACCTGTGTAGAGTAAAAGTATCTGCTATGGGACAGGTAATGGATATTGTGCCAGATGGAATCTGGGTAAAAAAAGATATTTTGAAATTAGTGTCAGAATGTAATCAGTTGATTCTATAAATGGAAAATGGAACCTGCCTCTTTTTCAGGCACTTGTTTTTTTAGATTTGGAACATCATAATGTGCAATATGAATACATACGGTTAGGAATCCATAAAAGTTGTGGATCTTCATTTAGATAGCTGTAAAAAGAAAACTAATTCCTAAATCATTTTGGTCAGTTTTCAGACGTCGAGAATCCAAAAGAGTATGGGCTTTGCTTTTAAGAGTCTTAGCTTATATATGTGGTTTCATTGTGTACTTTAGAAAATAAATAAAGATGGGTTGTTCTTTTAGGTTTTTTTTTAATGTGCAGTTGCGTGGACTATTAACGAGTAAGTTAATCAAAATCAATTTCTTTTCCATTTTGATAACTAGGCTAAATTTGGCCGAAGGTGGACCAAAATTGCAAAGCTAATTGGAAGTCGCACTGTTTTACAAGTTAAGAGTTATGCCAGGCAATACTTTAAAAATAAGGTAAGCAGGATATAAATATCCTAGTTAATAATAATATTTGCAATAAATAAAATTAGGAAGCAAAAATAGTGCTTTAATTTGGGCATTAATGTCAATTTTCAAAGTTTTCATAGTGAAAATATTTTATATTCATAAAGTACTCAACACATGTTTATCCTCAAAAATCTCAAAGCATAGCTTAAGTGTTTTGAGTATTGCGATTAGAGGTCATTGTTTCCTGGAAAATATCTTTTCTTTTTAAAGATTTGCATTGTAGCTTTTTTTGTTTTTATTACTATTTCTTTTATTAGCAAGATGCCTATTTGTAAATTCTGAGAAGAGTTTGACTTAAAAACCAGTCTTTTCAATATGTGAGTACAAGACCCGGTCCAGAAAAACAAGCCCATGAGCTCTAGAATGGTGTTTGAAAATGCACATTGTTAGGGTGCCTGACTGGCTCAGTTGGCAGAGCGTGCTACTCCTGATCTCGCAGTCATGAGTTCAAGCCCCATGTTGGGCACAGAGCTTACCTCTGTCCTTGCTGCAAGAGAGGCTGGGGAAGTTTCTGGATTTTACTTGGAGGTTTAAAGCTCATAGCAAAATTGACACTGGATGTTCCAGAAGCTTGGACTGGCTCCTGCTCTGTTTTGTTCCTGCTCCATTCTCATGGCGGCAGCTTCCACTACATTCTCAGGACTCGACGGTCTGTGGCTCCAGCCTACTTCTCTGCTGGGCCTCCTCCTGCAGGCACCCGGGACATCATGGTAGCCTCAGAACTTCTGTCCAAAGATTTGCATTGTAGCTTTTAGGAATGATTAGAGCTTAGGGACCATAAATGCTAACATGATGCTAAAATCTGTTTAATAACAATGAAACTTATAATTTTTATGAGGAATTATATGAAAACTTCAGTAAGTTGCAGTGTTCAGAAAAGCATAGTTATGGTCTAGTTCTTTAATCTTTCTAGTAATCTGTGCTGTGTTCAACCATGTAGTTTTGATATTTAGTAATTTTTAATATGTTCTCTGCTTGAGTTCTGGGAACATAATTCTATAGAATTTGACAGGGTCTTAAGTGAAATACGCTATTTTCTTTCAATGCAAATAATGGGTTTTATCCTGCATACAAGATTTATAGAACTTTGTGTCATTTGAGTATAGGAAGTAAAGAATGGAATGGATTCATTATACATCAATCATCTGCTCCCCTTTTAACCAAGCAAACGTATTTTCAAGGCAGCCTGGCAAGGTTAAGGTATTCTGGAAGAGAATAAAGCTTAATTTGGTTATTCCTGTCCCCATGCTTCTCAGACTGGAACATGCAGAGCATCTTGGGGTGTCAGTTTTACTCAAAGACTTGGGGTGAAAGGATACATCATGATGTTAAAAGAGACATTCATATGAAATATAATATGAAATCTTATCTGAATTTTTAAGGTAAAAACAAGAGACTTCAAGTAAATAGCAAGGTTGTTAAAGGCTATTCCAGGTCATATGTCCAAATCTCCTTTTCTCTCCTGCTACCCTTTCTTCTCTACATAATAAGCCAATTAACCTCAAATACTAGATCCTAGGATTCTGTTGTGATACAGGATCCGTAAGTAAGCTCTTTTTAAGAGCTGTCATCCCTTGGGTATGCCAGTCACATACAAAATTTTTCAAAAACCGTGTATGTGAAGATTTTATTTCAAATCATTTATATTCATTGATAGTCATTTTCTTCTCCATGACTAGATATTTATGCCTATAATAGTACCTATGGAAGATAATGTCATGCCTTAAATTATAAGCTGTATAATATTGGAGCTACATTAAATGAACCTTTACAAAATAGTTTGTTTCTATTATATCTGTATTTAAATGAAAAATGAATTTAATTTACTAAATAAAGATACGTGACATAGATTCCCTTAAATAATGGGCTGTTTAGCATTATAAAAAATAATCAGCTGAGGTATCTGACATTCTAAGAAATTAGCCATTAAAAATATTTTAATATCTTAAAGAATACCTTAGTATGACAGTTGTTGGTTCATTCTCTGTGGTTGATCTGAGACAGTCCTGTTTTAAACAATACTGAAAAACAAATAGCAGTTGTACAAGGTCATAGGTCATGATTATTTGATTAATACCATGAATGAGTCAAATATAGTGATAGAAATTTGAAATGATGACATTTTACATTTAAAATGCAGTAAATCCTTAGAAGAAAAGCACAATAAAGGTATAATACACCATTGATGTGTACTCAGTTTAATAATACAGTATTTATTATATGTGTGCCAGTGGTTAAATTTTTAAATGTTAATATGGGGATTTTATCTTGATTTTTAATAAGGTAAAATTAGATGGTCCAGAGAAGGAAACACCAAATGAGAAGAGCAGCAGTGACCTTCAGATTAAAAATGAAGATGAAGGCACAAAGGCATGGACGCCATCAGATTTAAGGGGACGTGCTGATCCCAACTTGAATGCTATAAAAATTGAAAAGTTATCTGATGATGAAGAAGTAGACATCACAGATGAGGCAGATGAGTTGACTTCTCAAGCTCCCCAAAAGAATCCTAGCAATGATGTCTTACTAAACATTCCTAATAGTAAAAGTCATGAAACCAGTCAAGGGGAATTTATTGCTTCCAACCAGGAAGATTCTGTATCTGAATCTTCCAAAGAGTATTTTCAGAATATAAAGCAGGGAGAAATGGAAGCACTTTCAAGCTCAGGAAGTAAATTTTGGACTGAAAAACAGAGCGTTAGTGACAAAAAATCAGCTGAGTTAAATGATCAGAAATGTAATAAACTGATGAAAAACTCTGAAAAACATGATGGAAATGGAATAATAGATGCTGCCAGGCCATTGCCTTCTCCAGAGCCTTGTGAAGTTCAGGAAGACTTGAGTGATACTGAAGTGCTTTTTCATTCTTCCTGTCAAATGGAGGAGAGCCATGAGGAAGAAGAGCTGAAGCCACCAGAACAAGAAGTAGAAATAGATAGAAATACCATTCAAGAAGAAGAAAAACAAGCAATTCCTGAGTTCTTTGAGGGGCGCCAAGCTAAAACACCAGAACGCTATTTGAAAATTAGGAATTACATTTTGGATCAGTGGTAAGGAAGAATTATATTTTAGATACTGTTGTAAAACTTACGATGCTCTAGAGTATTTTAATTAGGCCTATGCAGAATTTAGTGTTTTACATTGCTAGTGATGCAGAGAGCTTGAACATATGAATATATTTTAATAGGCAAGACTTAAAATTTCTCACAGTGAAATTTTCTTTGAAAGCTTTGGTAGATATTGTTATCTCTAGCTATCTCAGCCCATCTGTCTATTCATTAAGAGTATTTGGTCCTGGATTAAAAGGATAATTTGCTTTAAGAAGCAGTTTCTTAGGACAGTGTTAGGAAGATACAGAAAACACTACTGTACTGGAAAAGGGGGAGAATGTCTTTCCTAGTTTATCATGTACTTGTAAGTACAAAAAGAAAATTTTGGTGACAGAAGGGTATTTCTGTCATTAAATGTGGCTAGATTACAGAAACCATTCTAAATTGCTATAAATGCTTTCTTTCAGTTTTGATCTTGTAACATAAAGCGTTAATAATCCCTTCAGCCAGCTTCAGGATGCAGGAATTTTCTGATATGTGAAGTTTATCTTGTAAATTGTCAAAATTTGAATTATTTAGCATTGGATAGGGCACAAACCAAAAAACTTCCCACCTTATTAGCGTAAGTGCTCTGCAGATAATTTGAATTTTTCATGACATTTTAATTAAGACATTATCAAACATTCATAATTGTTGTTACTGCTTCAGGAGATACTGAATTGTGTATCCCATTACAGAGGACTTTTGCTGTAACTTAGGAAGATTGTCCAAGCAAAACAAATAACCAGGCTTATTACATCAGTAACCTTCATTGCCCACACAATATTAATTTGGCTTTTAAAGATAGCTCTATTCTAAATGAAGGACTTTTGTTCTTGTTCTTCACTGACTGATGGTTGAGATGGCTAAAAGTAAAATTTCTGGGTAAGGGTGGTATGAAATGAAAGAAGAATTATAAGGAACAACTGATAGTTGCATAGTGCTTTACAGTTACGGAAAGCTTTTCTATGTTGTTTGATTCCTCACAACAGTCCTATAGAATAGGCAGGTGGTATTTTCTGTGTTTGATAGATTCTGCGGCCAGGAGAGGTTTAGGGGCCTGCCTTTAATTATACAACCAGCTACTGACAGAAGGACCTATGTGGAGGTCTCGACTCTGTCCATCACCCTCTCCATTATTTCACATTGCCTATTCATTCACACTATGGAAGAAGACCAATCAAATTAGATCTCTATGGGTATCTAATTTTGTTTTTGGAAATAAGAGGATAAATGGCCAAAATTGAAGGACTACAAAATAATATCTCAAAGTTTTTTTATCTTTATGAATCATCAGTGAGTGACCTAATGGTGCTTTAATTAATTTCACTTACTTGAATTTTGGATTCTCAATAAGGCAGAATAACTTATATTGATGATATAAATTATATGGCAGTAGTTTCCTAATGACATTTGCCTTAGTTCATAAAACCAGTTAAATGTTGTTTCAATATAGTGATTTAGCAAAACAGTATGAAAGCAGAAAGAAATGTTTTGAACAGGAACTCAAAACTATTCTCTTCAGAAATAGAAGAGGGGACTGGAGGTGGTGTTAAAAAAAAAAAAAGAAGAGTAAAGTTTTAAAATAAGAAAGACCTGCTAGATTTGTTTGTAGCTAAAAGATCCTTTCCATAGAAACACATGCAACTGACTCCCTGTTTAGGGGTATGTTTTATTAAGATAGGAACCAATACCATTATTGAATGCCTACCAAATGTTTTTAAATGTATTTAAATAATCTCCAGTCCTCTTGACAACTTTGTCCTCCTTTTAAGATGAGAAAAATGAGGTTCAGAGAGGAAAAGAAACTTGTTCCAGGTCACATTAGGGGAAGGTGATTTCAGGGTCTTGCAGTCTTGACTCCTTATTTTCACACTTCATCTCAGGTCCTTCACCCAGACTTTTCACTCTGCCTTGGATACTTCCCCCACTCTGCCCCCCAGATGTTGATGAATTGTGCTTCGTCCTCTCCTTCAGGTCTGCTCCAGGGAAATTAGAGGACTTCACTGACCACCCTATCTAAAATAGCTCACATCCCTGCCTCCCACTCTCTTACTCTGTATTTTATTAGTCTTCATAGAACTTATTACTACTGAAAATACTATGTTATTTGTGTATTGTCTCCTTCCTCACTCCTCCTTCCCCATGATAATACAGGCTTCACATGGGCAGATTTTTGTCTGTTTTATTCATTGTTACACCCCTAGTGCTTAGGGCAATGCTTGTTCTAAGTAAATACAGAGGCACTCTATTTGTTAAGGGGAAAAGATGGTGCAAATGAAACATGAATAGGTATCCTTAGAGGACTTACCGTTTTTTTGTTTTTTTTTTTAAGATTTTTTTTATTTATTAGAGAGAGAGTGTGCACACAAGTGAAGGGAGAGGTAGAGGACAGAGGGAGAAGCAAGACTCCCTGCTGAGCAGGGGGCCCAACGTGGGGCTCCATCCCAGGACCCTGGGGTCATGAGCTGAAGGCAGATGCCTAACTGACTGAGTCACCCAGGCGCCCCTAGAGGCCTTTCCGTTTGTTCAGCATCATGCTAGTGCTGAGCTCTGTTTAAAGACTTTTGATTTGGGTAATCTTTAATTAAATCAGTACAGTTTTTAGATTCCTGTAAATTTTTGGTAGCTGGTTACACTGTGCTTATTCCTGTTCTCTTGGCTTCATTTGTGCAGTTTGTTTCCTTTCACACTGAAGTTGAAGTGAAAAAACACTGAAACCTCAACTTTTCAGTGGAATTTCTTTTTTTTTCCCCTAAGATTATATTTATTTATTTTAGAGAGCGCATGTGAGTGGGGGAAAGGACAGAGGCAGAGGGAGAGAATCCCAAGCTGACCCCCTGCTGAGCACCAGCCAATATGAGACTCAGTCTCACAACCTTGAGATCTTGGTGACCTGAGTGGAAACCAAGAGTCAGATGCTTAACCGATTGAGCCACCCAGGTGTCCCTCCAACATCACAAGTTAACTTTTTGCCTTCCCTGAATGTCTGTAGAATTAATGATTTTAAATTTGGTTTCTGCTTAGACAGGCCTTCCCTGAATACCCTGTCTAAAATAGTCTGCACGTAGTTCTCTCACTCTATCCCCTATTCTTACTTTTTCTTCCTAGCGCTTGTTGCTACCTGCCATTATAATATATATTATTTATTTTATGTACATATAATTCATTATATATATTCTATCAGCATGTAAGGTCAGGAACTTTATATTTATCTCTGGATCCTTAGTGCCTAAAACAGTGCCTGGTGTGTAGGATGCAAAATAAATGTTTGTAAAATAAAATAAAGATTAAATAAATACCTTTTATATGATATATATGAATACTTGGTTTATAACGTCCGTATGAAAATCTTGACTTTAACTTCCATAAATAAGTACTTTAATCCCCCTGACTTGTTTTCTCATCTCTAAAGTAAGAATAATAAAAGCTGCTTTGTAGAGTTATGAGGATTAAGGTTGTATAAATATTAGTACTGGCGTAAGTGTTCAGTAATTGTTTGCTACTATGAGTAAGTTCTCCATTACTCTTAACCTGTATCTACTGTGGCACAATAAGTATATTCGGTAAATATGTGTTTTATTATGTAAACCTTTTAATTTTTTCATAGTCTTTGGGCATTTCTTGATTCCTTTGAAATCCCCTGTAATATCTGTTTTCCATGGAGAGTAAGCACTTGGTATTTATTGGTCTAATGTTTAAAAGCCAATAAACTTTTAAGTATTTGTAAGGTAGCTTATAATTAAAAGATACTGTCCAGCAAAGTAAAAGTAGATGAACCTAAGTAATATATTAAAAAATAAGGAAAGCCTAATACTAAATACTTTAGATATATTATCAGAGTGCCCTTTTTATTCAAAGATGAGGCTTGAATTTGGATCTGTAGACAAAGCTTCTAACTTTAAAATCCTGGAATAACTGGAATTTATTACATTTCATATGGGAAAGAAATAATACTTAATAACAATCACATTATACTCATAAGTTATTGTATCATTTAAAGATATTTAAAATTTGGGTTTTATGTATTAGCATTGTTTTTACTACACATTTACAGATTGAGGGGGGTAAATTTTTAAGATATTTCAAATATTAAAAGTTTTCCCCAGAAATCTTTTTTTCATGTTTTTATTTATCCAAAATAACTGTACTTCCATCTCTTAATTAGGGAGATATGCAAACCGAAATACTTAAATAAGACCTCAGTACGTCCTGGCCTGAAGAACTGTGGGGATGTTAATTGTATTGGACGGATTCATACATACCTCGAGTTGATAGGAGCAATCAATTTTGGATGTGGTAAAAATAAAAACCCAACAACATCTTTTACTCAACATTTTTTATCTTTAGAGCACCCATTAACTTCTTCAGTGGTTAGAATTCAAGCAGATTTTAGTATAGATAGAGAATTCAGGAAGATGCTATGACATTATGTAATCAATGTATTATTGAGGTTTTTTTTTTTAAACAGATTTCTGTTGATTAAACTATATTTTCCGGTAACCTACAGTGAAAATTGGTGGTATGAAAGGGAAAAATATGCAGTCTAAGTAGTAGAAATAATTTAACAGTGCTGCTCTTTGTCAAGTAAAAGTAAAGTCATTTTAAGAAAAATGTAGTAATAGCCCATTTAATCTGCGAAATCTGTATTAATGCTAGAAATACTGTCTAGCAGTGTTTAAATAAAGGAAATAATTTATGAGCCCCTACACTTAAATGTAATAAAAGTGCCAAAATATTTTTCATGGAAGAAAGTTTCTTTCACCCTAGTTTTTCTCAAATTTAAAGTCAATGAATATGCATGATTTTAAATGTTTTCTTCACTTCTATTGAATTAACATGACACAAACATTTTGAAGAAAGATAACAGTAGTTGCAAAGTGATAAGGTAATTAGAACTTTGTAACCCATGGTTTCAGAGGAGTATATTGTATATTGTATGTGTATGGGAAGACAGCTAACCAGAATGTTTCCTTTCAGAGATTATTTCATAGAGAGAGAATTCACAGTCTGCCCTGTGGTCTGTCCTTCATTTCAGTGTCTTTGTTTCCCCAAGCACTGTATATGGGACTGACTGGTCAAGAAAGCTAAGGTGTCACAGCTTCCTCAGCCACAAAAGAAAAATCATGTTTTCAGTATTAGATCTTTGAATTCAGCAAAGTGGCCTTAGCACACAGTTAATTAGAAATTAAATTACCCATCTCACGAATACCCCATTTTACTGGGATTTCCTTAAGAGTCTTTTACGTGAGAACTTCCAAGTGATTGTAGATTAAGATAGATGCTCAGGTGTAACAGAACTTAGACATTGGCTTACAACTTACAGTCAGTGTAGATGTGTCTTCCTAGGTAAGAAATGAGTTTCAGAAAGTAATAGAGTGTTCTGTTTTTCCTGAATTCCAATAGAACAGGCTGTGTACAACAGGCCACAACCAGTTGACAAAGGACGAGTCAGAGACCGAAAAGCTACAGGGGAAGCGTACCGGCTTGCACGGCGCCTGCAGTCTGCGGTAAGCAACCACCCTTGCCAACGCAGCGCTCCAGAGTGCTCCTTGCCCTGTTAAGTGAGGCGTGCTTCCTTCTCGCCAGCTGCTTAACAAGTGGACGTTTAGTGGACGAACTGGTTTTCTCTTGTATTTCACCTTAGCCGTTCACTTTCCTGGTTCCTGTTCAGTTCCATGTTAGTTTAAAAGTCAAAAACCAAAAAAACCTCACGGGTCACTGGCCAGCTTGACACAGAAGCATGGTGCTTTGCTAGCGTGGTCTTAGACTGCTGGTTCTGGTTTCTGTATCTAGTGTGTCTTTTACAACCATACAGTTAAACTCTTTTTGTCCTCCTCAGTTACTTTGTTAGTTTAAAAGTCTTACCTTTGAGAGTCAGCTTTTTGGAATAGCTGTCCAAACTATTGTAAGCTTTCTTTGTTAATTCTTGAGGTTAGTGAGTTTTAAAATTTCTTACAATTCATGAGTCTTATTTTTTTTTAAAGATTTTATTTATTTATTTGGCAGAGAGACACAGCAAGAGAGGGAACACAAGCAGGGGGAGTGGGAGAGGGAGAAGCAGGCCTCCCACGGAGCACGGAGCCCGACGCGGGGCTCGATCCCAGGACCCTGGGATCATGACCTGAGCCGAAGGCAAACACTTAACAACTGAGCCACCCAGGCGCCCCACCTGAGTCTTATTTTAAAAATGGGTAATCCTACAAGTCCTCTAAAAGGCAGAGTCATATTGGGTTCTTGTTGGTTTTACTAATAAAATAGGTTAAATTGGTAATAGGTGAGGCAAATGAAGAAAAGTGCCGATAATAGAGTGGGTATTTTTCTCAGAGTATTTAGGCCGTAAACCATTTCTACCTAGATTTACTGTAGTAAAAAAGGATGTTTTTAGATATGGTTGCTGGAAAGGGTGCTTTTTATATGCTGGCTTCTGAGCCAGTGCATTTTAAAGGCTTCAGTATTGAGGTTTACAAAACTGGGTATTAGTAGTTCAACTAACTTTGTACTTTTTTATTAATTATATCCACTAGGCAGTCTTTCCCTTTTTAAGGCTGAGAAATAATTAATTTGCTTCTAGTTTTCAATAACCTACCTCTTGCTGTGGGTTCTTGCAAGTTTTCTACCACAAGTGGTTGAAAGGGAAGTCATTTTCTTGGTGGTTCTTTTGGTCTTAAAAATAGCTTTTGTCCTAGTGTTTAACTCATAAAGGTGAAGAGAAATTAAACTTCAAGAAGAAATCCAAGTAAAATTCAGAAAATCATTACTGATTTATTTTTGAGCAGAGTGCTATTAAAGATAAATTAATAAAATAAAATTTTGTCAGGCATTGCCAATCAGAGATTATATTTTAATGAAGAAATTAACTGATTTTTAGAAAAATATCATTTTGGTGTTGTATATTAGTGTGCTGTGATTTCTTCGAGTTAACCTTGTTACCTTTTGCTTTATTTTAATCTTACCCCAGCGCACAAGGAGACGTAGGGTCCGAGACCCATGGGGAAATTGGTGTGATGCAAAAGACTTAGAAGGACAAACCTTTGAGGTAACTTTGACCTTTGCAAATAGCTCATTAGTGAAAGTTGTTCTCTCAATTATATTTGTATATCTTAATACCACATGTATTACACTCGTTTGTGTTGGTGTGTGTGTGTGTGTGTGTGTATCCTTCCCATGTTAATTTGCTTGTCTAGAAGTCACCAATAAATAACAAAATAAAGGCATTGGTACACTTAACTAGGAGTTTGATTAATTTTCTGTATTTTAATTATCTACCTCTGCATTCTGGTCTCTAGCTCAAGAATAATCTGCCAATGTGCCAGGAAGTTGGTATGCCTAATTCATTTCAGTAAACATTTATAGAATGATGTTCTGATAGACCATTTAAAATATTGTCCCACACATTAGACATAAATTGAATTACAAATATTAAAGTATTTCTACTAATAGAAACTGGTTATAAAAGGAAACATAGGCAATGAATGTGTGTGTGTGTGTGTATTCTATTTGTGAACAACTAGTGCAGTAGAATGGAAAGAATGTGCGAATGGGTGCTTATTGGCTTTGTTACCTTGACCAGTTTCTTAACCTCACTAAAATTCAGATTTTTATCTATAGAGTGTGGGTAATATCTCTCTCAAAGAATTGTTGTGAGAATTAAGTGAAGTAAACGGGATAAAATGTGTGGAGGTCCTAGTACTAGGCACTTAATAAGCCTTGCATATACCAATTAGTAAATGTTTTCCTCCTGGGTTTCAGTGCAAAAAAAAAAAAAAAGGTTCTCCTCTTTTTCTCTTCCCCATTCCCTGTCCTCAACCTTACACCTGAGCACCAATCTAGGTACAACATTAGTTAATGCCTGGTTTCTGCCTAGAAGGAACTTAATTTCTAGTAGGAAAGATGACCTGTGATAAGTTACATAAGATTGGTCTTAAGAAATGTCAGGTCTTCCCCAAAGGTTGTGATTAGAGGAGGTATCACAGAAAATGTGATATTTCATCTGTGACATAAAGGATGAGCCAGGAGAATTAGTACATGAGGGCATCCCAGGCTAAGGGAGCGGCATAAACAAAAGTACAAATGGGGAAAAATACCAGACATATTCTGGAAAAGATGCATAGTTCATTTGGACTAGAGTATAAGAGTGGTAGTAGAAGTGGGATGAAAGATGTGTTTTGTACTTACTATTATCAGGGTTTTATAAACATTAATCAAATCAATCATCACAATAACACCAGGACATTGTTGTTATTACTACTTGTGTTCCCATGTTAAAGGTAAGAAACTAAAGCACAGAAAGCTTCAGTAACTTGGCCAGGGTCGTCACCCAGTAAGTGGCAGAGCCAGGCATTCTATCTCCAGAATCTGTGCTCTTTATCATTATGTTGCGATGTCTCCTGGTTGGGAAAGAAAATTCTTAACACAGTAGGACTTGGTGACTAGAAATGGGGAATAAGTAAGAGGAGGGACTCAGGTGATTCTGAAGTTTTTGAACCTGGGTGACTGGTGCCATTAATTGAAATAGGCAAAACAAGAGAAGGTATACATTTTAAGTTTGGTGTGGCTGTAGATTTTGGAACAATTTTTTTTATATATTATCCAGCATTTCGATTTGTTAGTAGAAAGAAGGAGACACATCTACATCAACATAGTGGATCTCATTCTCACATGCCTTTAAATATGGTTTAAAGAGTTGTTTTTGTTTTAATTCTGCCTCTCAGTGGCTGATGGACTCTTTGATCAACCTGTGTTTTATGTTTTAGCATCTCTCTGCTGAGGAATTGGCAAGAAGAAAAGAGGAAAAATGTAAACCTGTTAAATCCTCAAAAGTACCAAGACCAACAAAAAGGTATAGTGTTATATAACTATGATTTTTTTAATTTATCACAAATGATTAGGAAATGAATGGAAAAAATATCTGATATAACATTATATTCATATTAAGTTGAAAAATACTAAAATTTTTGAAATTTTTTATTTCACTGATTATCAATTTGGAAGACCTTGAGCAAAAGTTTTAAATTTATTTGGGTTTAGTGATCATAGGATCCAACATATGCTGTAAAGGGGCCTTAATTATGACAGGTAGTCATTCAACTCCTTAGACATTATAAATAGATAACTCTTGAAATGACTAGTTCTTTCTTTAGTTGGTGTGGATTGTTAGCAAGGTTTCTTGTTTTTGAATAATCTGATATTTATAACCTGTAATAATAAAGGTCACCAAGTAAGTTAAATGTCTTGATTTTCTAGACCCTTACTTTCTGCAGATGCCCCATTGAATAGACTATAGTTTTGTCAGTGTCCCTTTTAAAACAAGATATCTAGGAATGGCACTAAGTCATATTCAGTGGAAAGAGCCCTGATGCTTAACCAGGGGTATGTCCCCAGGTAAGTTACATAAGGCCTTAAGCCTTCAGTCCTCATTTATAAAATAGTAACTATAATAGCTAACACTGTTAGTTAGCTAAATTTTAAGCACTTCATGTATATTAACTCATTTAATCCACATAACTACCCTATGCAGTAGTTAATATCATTCCCATTTTATAGGTGAGAAAACTGAGGCACAAAGAGCTTGAGCAACTTGCCCCCCGTGCTTGTTAGTGGCGAAGCTGTGATTTAAATCCAGGCAGTTAGGTTTAAGAATCCATACTGCGAACTATTACATTATATATCACTTCTATAAAATAAAAATTAAAACTTACAGTTGTGAGAGTAAGTTAAATGAGATAAACTATGTAAAAAAGATAGTCATCCCTAAGCTAGGACTCCTCATCTAGTATCCAGACATTGGATTTTCTGAATCTAAATGTGAGACATATTTATTGTGATTTCCAGGTCCTTGTTCCAGTTTGTCAGGATCTTTCTGAATCCAGATCCACTTTTCTCAATTAGCCTTCGTAGCTTTGAATCATCAACATTTCAATAAGCTTACCTCTTCTGTCATTGACCACTGATTAAAATGTTTAAATGAGATAAATGTAAGCCTCAGACATCATTGTTCAATCAGCTGTACATTGCTACAGTTAACCTGTGTTTTTTCATCTTATGCAGAAGAAAAATCTTGGCAGGTATCTTGCTTATATTCAGATAGAATATATTTGAATCTTTATGAGTCTGCTAGTTTCTAGCAGATCAGTCATATCAGAAATGAAATTTAGATTTACTTATCATGACATATTTTCATAGATCCATTATTATTATTCTTAGTAGTCACCTCTTCACTTGCTAAAGGCTCAAAATCACCTGTTTAATAATCTTTTCCAGAATTTTCCAATATTTACATCTAATTTCTCTGCTTCTAAAGTCTGCTTTTTTGTATGTTTTGAAAACAAGCCCAGGGCACCTGGGTGGCAGGTCATGATCTCAGGGTCATGAGATCGAGCCCCGGGTTAGAGCCCCACACTGGGCTTCGTGCTGGGCTTGGAGCCTGCTTGGGATTCTCCCCTCCACCACTCACACATGCATACATTCTTTCTCTTTCTAAAAAAATAAATAAAATGAAAACAAGCCATTGCAATAATTGCCTATTCATAGTCCTCCACTAATTTTTCCATTCTGTACAGTTCCTCCAACAAGATCAGTGGGGTTTCACATCATGCTTCTTCAGTGCTCTGGGATGCATACACTGTCTTTCTATTCTTTTTATTCATGCACTTTTTTATTTGAGGATCTTTCCCCTTCATTCAACAAATATTTCTGAATGTTTGTTATGTATCAGGCACTGTTCTAGGCACTTGGGATGCAAAGTGTCTGACTTTTGGAACTAACAGTCTCTGGTAGAATGGGAACTGAATAGTCCTGCTGTTTTCTAGTCCTATTAACATGAACATATTCCTTGTTTGTTTGGGTTTTTTCTTTCTCTGAACATAGACTAAAAAAACCTTATTAATCATTCTTAATATCTTTCTCAAACCTCAGTTCTTCACTGGTAAAAGCCTTTCTAACATTTCTCTCAGATTTATACGTGCTTTTGTATTCTACCCTTGCTTATGTGCCCCTCTTTTTGTCTTTTTTTTTTTAACTCTTTCATTTTAAAATAAGTTTATCATAGAGCTTTTTATATACATTAATTTCTTTAGCAGAACTGCTTCTTGTTTATTCATTCAGCAAAAATTTATTGAGTACCTACTCTATGCTGATATGGTACTTATAAGTGTTTTTGAGAAACTTTCCTCTTTCTTGAATTTTCTTACCCATGTCATGTCAGGGAGTTGGTTACATTTTCTTCAAACTTTTTGAAACCTGCTTTCAATGTAGGACACATGTGTGGGTACTTATAATGAATATTCTTCTCTTTGGGTGTTAAAAGAAATTAAGGCAACAGAATTACTTTCTCTCAAAGGTCCTGTCATTTCCCATCTTTTATTGAGTCCAAAAAAACAGTGCTTCTTTCAAAAGGGTTGTATGGAACGTCCTTAAGAAATTCTCCTAGTTTAGTATTTTTCTGAGAATTGGGGTTTAGATTATTGATGCACATTTTCTAATTTAAATGAATGTGATTTTCCGGATCTTGTTATTAAGATTATATTAGAAATGATTTTTTTTTTTCTTTTCCAGCTCATTTGATCCCTTCCAACTGATACCTTGTAATTTTTTCAGTGAAGAAAAGCAGGTACTATTTATGCATCAGTGAATGGCCATAAATAATGCCCCCCTGTCAGACATGAAGTATTTCTTTTTCTGTGTGTGCAAGGCATATATATATATATATATATATATATATATATATATATATGAAAGATTGGATAAGGCAGGGTACATTAAGGGTCAAATGAGTGATACAAATGGGAAATGAAAGAGCATTTCTCCATGCTAGGATTTTAAATGATAATATTTTAAAAATCTCTAGTTTGTGCTGAGCCTTGGTTGGTGATGAGAACTTAGTGTAACATGTGAAGGAGGAAAGGGTGGACATTCCAGTGAGGAAGAACAAAATCTCTATTTTTATGCTCCCCCATTTTTTTTTTTTTTATATTTCAGGAGCCATTTCAGGTGAAAGTGGCTTCAGAAGCACTTTTAATAATGGATTTGGTAAGGATAATCTATTGTGCTTACTTACTCTGATTTCTATTCTTGTGTATTTTTATTGCAGGCTTAAGAGAGAGTATGGAAGACGTGTATTTTGGATCTTAACTATCCTCTTTTACAAGGAATCTAAAAATAACTCTTTTCTTTTGGAGAAAAGCCAAACAATTGCATGTTTCCATATTTTAGAGAAAATAAATTAATGTGAGTTTTGCAGACTGTTTATCATCATTAACCCTATATTCATTTCCTGGTATCCTTTGTCTGCTGCCTTCTAGATAACTGCAACAAAGCACAACTACAATTTGGAGGCTCCTTGTTTGCACTAAATTCCAGAGACCTCCAACAGTTGTGTCTGTTTAGGGCGTTCTTCTATTATATCCATATGATACCTTTCCTGAGTAAGGAAAACAAATGGTATCTTCATTTTGTAAATTTAAAAATAGCATCTTGGAGTGTTTGAATGTTTGGTTCAAAGCTTCTCAGCTGGCAGTGAAGATAAATCTGAAATCCTAAATTTCTTTGCACTGAGCCTAGCATCTGATTCCTCCACTATGCTACTTTATTTTAGAAAAGCATAGTTACCGTACTTATAAATGACTCTCGTGTGATAAGTGAGTTTTATTCTGATTTTTTTGTCAGATGGATTTGTATGTTTGGGCTAAGTCTATTTTGTATTTCTTTTTAGCATGCTCATGTTTCTATGGCAGAAGTGATTGGTCTATTAGGAGGAAGATACTCAGAAGTTGATAAGATAGTTGAAGTAAGTTCTCACCTTTAAAAAATTTTTTTAATTATTTAGTACTGCTGCCATACCAAATGTTTATATAGATTTCAGTGGATATAATTAAAATACAGACTTTTACCCGTGATATAAATGAGACTATGCAAATGTGGGTTAGATATTCCCAGGAGTAAACTAGCATTCTGTATATTGAGCACCAGTCTCTTTTTACCATCAAGAAAGAGGGAGCACTGCCAGCCAGGCCTCCTCATTGCCCTCACCAATAAAAAGCTACAACTACTTTAAAGCCAGGAAACATGCACCTACCCTATAGTTGAAACTTCTCTGTTGCAATTATTATCATAAATAATGGGAGTCATTGGAAGACTGTGTTTGTACAGATATTATATGGGCTAACTTGGAGAACTAACAATTATTATGGCCTTGTTTGAGTAGAAACATGGATTCTGAGTTCCTATATACAACTGCACTTTTAGAGTGTCATTCATTGCAGGTTAAAGGCTGCTTGTGATACTGTCAAGTACTTTCATTAGCTTAAAAAAGTTTCTGTATCTACGTATGAAGAACTAAAACTTTAAGTAATAGAATTAACAGGATTTCAGTGTAACCGTATAAGGATTAATCTTTTTATAGGTCTGTGCAGCAGAGCCATGTAACAGTCTGAGTACAGGACTGCAGTGTGAGATGGATCCTGTCTCACAAACACAGGCCTCAGAGACCTTGGCTGTGAGAGGTTATAGTGTTATTGGATGGTATCATTCTCATCCTGCCTTTGATCCAAATCCTTCCTTACGAGATATTGACACTCAAGCCAAATACCAGGTGGGCTTCTAGGTCTTATGTGTACGTTGTGTGTAAATAATTGTACTTTTTCTCCTCCTTCATTGCTTTCTATTAAATAAATGTATTTTTAACATTTCTAGCAAAGTATTGCATTTCTAATATTATTTACATCTGGAGTTTTGAAATAACTTTGCATTTTTTCTGATCACTAGAGTAATATGTGTTTATTTAAACATTTGGGAGATCAGCTATTTGTTTAGTTCAGACAAACCATCTAAGTAACAGTGATAAGTACTGCCAGAGCCTTTAAAAATTTTTGGGAACTGGGCACCTGGGTAGCTCAGTCGGTTCAGTGTCTGGCTCTTGATTTTGGCTCAGGTAATGATCTCAGCGTCCTCAGATGAGCCCCGCATCAGGCTCCGCCCTCATCGTGGAGTCTACTTGGGATTCTTTTCCTCTTTGTCTCCTTCCCCCTCAACACCTCCCCCTGCTCAAGCTCTCTCTCTCTCTCTCTAAAGTAAATAAAATCTTCAAAAAAAAATTGATGGGAACAACTAGGATAGGGACTGGGTATGAGTGAAATAATCATTACCAGTCTATTTTACATCTCTGGGAAAGATGAAGTTTTGTTTGATTCTAACAGTTTATGTTAAATAGATGAATGTTTTTGCTGTCAGCAGCTGTTAATAAATTATTACCGTATTGATAAAGATTATAGCTGAAGCGTAGTGAAAATAATTTGTAAACATGTTCATGGCAAATACAGATTTTGCAGGCCAGGTGATGACCCTTAAAAGGGATCATTTCTGGTCACTTCTGGTTGGGTTGAGCACATTTTGGCCTAAAAAATTTAGAGTGTGGAATGATACATATTTCATTTAGTTGCTTTTTGGATGTGAAGTTTTTAACACACCTTTTGTCCCTTTTTCCCGAACCATTAGGTGTTTAAGATGTTGGTATGGGTAAATACTGATTTTTAAATTTATGCAGTCGAGACTAATTATATTTTTCTTTTAATTGTAGAGTTACTTCTCCAGAGGCGGTGCAAAGTTCATTGGAATGATTGTTAGTCCTTATAATCAGAGCAATCCTTTACCTTATTCCCAGATTACCTGCCTGGTTATAAGTGATGAAATTAGCTCAGATGGCTCTTACCGTAAGTTTTCAACAAAAACAACTTCACCTGATTTCTTTTTTTTTTTTTTTAAAGATTTTATTTATTTATTTGAGAGAGAGAGAATGAGAGAGAGAACACATGAGAGGGGATAGGGTCAGAGGACGA